TGAAGAAAAGTTCATGTATCTCAGGTTTGGAAAAACAGTCCCTATCTCTTCTTGAACTGAACCAAAGATCAAATTACTCGAGATATCGAGAACTTGCAAGTTATGAACAGGCCTAGGTAGTTGAAGCTTTGTCAATGAGTTCCCGCTTAGTATAATAGTCTGGAGATTTGTGTTGTTCTTTACAAGCCAAGTTGGGAATGTTCCTGTCAGATTGTTTTGAGAGAGATCAACGAAACACAAGTCACGCTGTTGCAGGAGAAAGCCGAGCTTTGTGGTGCCGAGACTGCAGTTCGATAGATGCAAGATCTTTAACTGAAACGATGCAGCCCAGGAAGTCTCGCTTTGAACTTGGATCATACTGACTATTGATGAGAGCTTGAATACGGTGAGGCTTGTTTGATTGACCAGTGAGTTGAGCAGGAATGAACCGTTGAAGTTATTATTGAGAAGGGACAAGTATTCGAGTTCTGATGGCAGACCAAACACAAAGGAAGACAGGTTTCCGTTCAATTGGTTGTTGGATAGATCAAGAGTTCGAAGACCGGTTAAGTTACTAAGACAATAAGGAAGATTTGTCAAAGCGTTGCTGCTCAAATCCAGCTCCCTGAGATTCATTAGTCTGCAAATCCCTAAATAGCCTGAAAAATAAGAGCATTAAAAATCAGAATAATGACAATAAAGACCACATATTAGTCAATATGAGCAATTTGATTATCTTATGATCTCACAACATATCTACTTAGAAATTCTGTTAAGAAGGTGTGGCTCTTCTGCTCAGACCAAGCAATCCATATGATAAGAAAAGATAAGTCAGAAGAGATCAAATAATTGCAATATATCACCTTCGTTGGTCAAAGACAATCGGTTCCTTTTGAGATCCAATACTTGTAAAGATGTAGGAATCACTAAACCTGCAGCTAAAAGAACATACAGATGCAAATAAATATAGAGCCTCTTCTCACTTCTACTGTTATAAGTGACATGAATTAGAAAAATTCTTCTAACGTTTATGAAATATTCCAACTAGACAGGTTAGAACAACTGTGGTGTTTAAGTTAGAGGGAGCAAGTTTCTATATGTCTATACATATCTTACCCAAATTTGTGAACTGATTGTCACTGAGATCCAGTTCCTGCAACTTTTTCAATTCTTTCAGTGCTGCGTGGGAAAAAAGAAACATTCTTAGGAAGAAGAGAAAAACAGAATATATATGATTGCCTTCCTTAAGCTATCAGTCTCTTCCTGCAAGAACAGTTTACACACTTACCATGAGTAGATAGCGTGTGGTTGAATTTATTGCCTCGTAATCTCAAGACTGCTAACTCTTGGAGATTTTCTAAACCTGGAAACACACACACATGTTAATATGTTATGATAAGACAGTTGACATAAATGGATCAAAACCATCTACGTAGTTGGTAAATTCCTGACACTCTCGCTCCTACCTTTTAATTGAGAAAAATCTGAAAATAGATTGTAAGTAAGATCTAGTGTTTTCAGTTTCCCCTTGCTATACCCTGCACCAATAAACACAAGTGACGTCATAAGTCAGCAGATAAGTGATTTTAAAAAGTTGGTAGCTAAGCCACTCACTGTGACTAGCTTCAGAGTCGTTGACACCATTGAAACTAAGATCCAGTGCTTCTAACTCTCTAAACTCAGCTAAACCTGCATCACAATGTCTCTTTTAGTTCTTGTTTCGTTCTGAAAAGACAAAAGTAAATAAGATTTTGTTAACATATATTTACCTTGACCAGACAAGAAGCTGAAACTGTTGTCCTTTAAGTTCAACACTTTCAAGTTTGTCATGTTTGCAAGTCCTGCCACACACCAAAAACAAGAAGCCGTCAAGGTCACCTCCTATTTACTTAATACATACAAAGCTTTCTTTAGAAAAGATGCCAAACCTTGAGGAGGAAAGACACCTTCCATATAATTAGACTCAAGGTATAGAGTCTTAAGCGATGTGGCAGCACTTAGAAAAGGAACAATACTGTTGTCAAACAAATTGTGAGAGAAATCTACGGTGATGAGCTTCTCTAGTGTTCCAAAGCTCTTATAACCTGAAAACATAAATGCAGAGACTAAAATTCTCTTTTCAAGCAAAACGTCGAACACGTTATGTGCACTATATAGTATTCATATTTTCTCACACGATCACCAAAAATCTCAAGTCGAAATTTATACACCCTTATGTTTTGTCTCGTGACACTGAATATGTATTTGGTTAATGGAAGCAAAAAAGAATATATATATGGTTAAGACCGGTTAGAAATAACCGATATTTCAAATTGTTGGTGTCCTGACATTAGAATATAGGATAGCTAGTGGTAAACTAAGAAAAAATCGGTTTAAATATTTCTAATTGTTGGTTTACTGACATTAGAATAAAGGATAAGCTTTCGGTTTAACCGACCGATATTTCTAATTGTTGGTTTCATGACATTAGAATAAAGGATAGCAAATGAATCTCGGTTAAAAGGACGTTACCATGAACGTGATCAGACAAACCGGTGAACCAGTTCCAAGAAAGGTTAAGGCTTTGCAGTTGAGGGAAACTATGGAACAAAGACAGGTTTAAAGACCGAGTTTCCGACTCAAACGCGACTGGTATGAGTTGACCCAGAGAGAGATCGATGACGTGGCCACCACCATTAGCGTCACTACACTTTACTCTCTCCCAAATGCAACAATCACCATTACGAGTCCACGACTTGAGAATATTATTCTCTTCTCCTTCATCAAATAGATTCTTGAGATAAGACTTGAGTTGCAACAGACCCATCCGTTCAGTTTCCAGACAACCTACAGTTACTTTCATTTGGCAATGAAACATCATTGTTATTATAATGAAAACAAAAGCTAGATGCTTCTTCTCTTTGTTTGTTCTCATTTTCAAAGTTTGTCTATATATTTTAGTTAGAAAAACTGAGGATTTGGGTTCCTACAAGAGTTTAAATAGCTTAATTGAAGACTTTACCCAAAATAGAGTTGTAAGATGTGAACATGACTTCACAAGTCGATGGAAAGTCAACCCATCTTTGTCTTTTGCGTTTACCTCCCACTATTGAGAATAGACCTGTGAATGCATATCCATCACCCATTAGCTATCAGCCTCTATGAGGGGCTCCTTTGCTACACTCTGACGTTTGTATCCACCTTTGCCTTTTATAGATAAATCGTGAAGAGTTTCAAACGGCACTAACTTTACCAAACGTATCATTTTAGAACATAACAAGTCAAATAAAACAACTGATTCTAGAGGGTAATTTAACGAAATCACACAAAAACATCAATCATCAATATGGAATCTTGGACATTTTAGTATGAATAGAAGAAGCTCTGGATACAAAAAGGGTCTTAGGCCTTGTCTTCTTCATCTTCTTCAATCTTAGGAGCCAAGTAGTAACGAATGTAACCCATCTCAGCCACCTTATACTCCACCACAACTGGAAGCTCAGACGATAAGCTGATCGTCACTGTGTCTGACAACGGAGTTGCCTTTGTGAAGGAATTCATGTACCTCAGCGCAAATGAGAGTGACACTGGCTCGTTCATCTCTATCACAATTGCATCTTCCGGCTACAACTCAACAAAACAAAAACCTCAATTCAGCAAGCTGCTCCAATCAATCAGCCATGTATGATTGCTAATACCTTGTCAACAGTTGTGTTCTGTCGTAACACAATGTTAGCTGTCCCAATGTCACCAGCAGTGGAAAACTTAACACCTTCTTTAGTCACAGAGATCACAACTGTGAAAACAATACCACCAAAGCCACCATATTAATCTCTCTCTATAGACCAATCTTCAAGAAACAGCTAAGCAGCCATTATGCATTTTATATAGTATTATTGATTAATCAGATGCATTTTATATAATATTATTGATTAATCAGATGCCTAGACTGATTTATTCAAAAATCTCTTTAGACAAAATAGTTCCTTTTAGTCACTTAAACGCCGCGCCTAGACTAATTTTTAGAACACTGCTATAGACCCAACACAGATTATTAACAGCAAAAGCAATGAGAGTGTTACCAGTGTCACCAATGCTACTAAGATCTTTACAAATCCTAGAGAACTCATTAGAAGGCATCCTCACAATCGACTGATACTCAGCATCAGGTATCCCCAAATGCTCACTATCTATATCCATCAGCTTCATCTCAAAATCCGCAATCTTATCCTGCGCTGTAAAAAAAATATTACCACCACAGTTAAAAAAACCATCTCATATCCAGTAGTAACCAGTAAAAGTAGATTTAAATTAAAAAAAAACTTACAGGGACTCTCGAACATGAAGGTAACGGTATCTCCACCATCATCAGCTTTGATGGTGATGATGTCATCGTTTCCCGCGCATTTTAGCATCTTCGACATGTTGCCGAGATTCATCCCCATGGAGAGGTTTCTGTCGCATCTGTAGTGCTCGAAGCCTTCGGATCGGAGGAGGAGGGAGACGAGCGCCACGTGGCTTGAGTCCATGGCTTGGAGGGAGAAGCCGGTGCTGGAGCAGTCGAAGTTGGCGTCGTTGACGAGATCTTTGATCGATTCTAGAACCTTCTTTAAGAGGGAGCCTTGGACAAGACGTAGCTCCAACATTTTTTGTTTTTTTACAGAGATCAGAATCCGAATCGATTGATTAGGGTTTTGGGAAGAAGAGTGATGATGGAGGGGAGTCCTATTTATAGGCTTTTTTCTTATTTTTTGGCGGGTTTCGCAATTTTAAGACATTTGGTTCCCGCCAACGCGCCAGTGAGTGGGTGTTTCTGTTATTGTTAAAGATAAGACGTTTGATTTGTAATTATTAAAAAGTTCAAAACTTCTCTTCTAGCCCGAAGGTTTTAAACTTTGTGACGAACGATATGCATCAGTTTGGACACAAGGATATTAGTACCCATTTCGCGTACTAGTGAGTGAAAAAGCCTCTCTTCTAGCCAGCGGGTTTAAAGAAAGACATTGTAACTTCAAAAACTTTGTGATAAAACGATAAAGCTACGAGCTTACTTTAGCTACTTCCACCGCGGAAAACAACCGAATCACACTTCAAAACGCAGTCGTATCATGGCATCCTCGTCTGAGCCACTTGACCTAACCGTCACCGTCATCTCAGCCAAGCACCTAAAAAACGTCAACTGGCGTAACGGAGACCTGAAACCCTACGTCGTTCTTCACCTAAACCCAGACCACCGCCTCTCAACACGCGCCGATGAATCCGTTAAACCGGTGTGGAACGAGCGGATCACTCTTCCTCTCACCAGATCCGTCCACGAATCGGTCCTCAACATCGAAATCTTCCATTCTAATTCGTCAGATCCGGCGAAACCCCTAGTCGGTTCGGTGAGATTCCCTCTGGTTGACTCAGAAGGTTCGATGATGACTGGATCTATCCACTCGATTGAGCTGATCCGTCCCTCGGGTCGGACACAAGGGAAGATACGCTTGAAGCTCGAGATCAAGAAACGGATGATCCAACCTCAAAATTACTATTCTGCCCCTCAAGTAAACCGTTATTACTCTCCGTCTCCACCTCAGCGTGATCACAGAGACTTCTCACCTTATCCTTTAACCGATCATTACTATTCAAGATTCTATTACCCTCCTCCTCCGACGACGACGACACATTCTATGTACGATCGCGCCTCCAATTACAGCCTGCCAAGTATCCCATCAGCTCCCATTGATCACAATCCGCTTCCTCCTCGCTTTCCCAGCTACGCTCCACCGCCTAGTGTGCCACCATCAGCTCCCGTGGATGCTTTTCCGGTGAACGAGGCTGCTCCACAGCCGAGTGGGCCGCCATCAGCTCCCGTGGATGCATTTCCGGTGAACGAGTACAACAAGCCACAGGATCCACCGGTGAGCTCGAGATTCTCAAGTTACGGAGTGCCGAGTGGCCGCCCATCGGCGCCAGTGGATTACTCTCCTTATGATCACAGGCAGTTGCAGAGGACGATGGGCGGGCTGAGCTTGGAGGAGGAGAGGTCTGAGACTGAGAGCGAGTTTGGAGCTAAGCCTAGCTGCAGCTATGCTCGTGATTATCGCCGTGAATGTTAGAAGAGGAGCTGAAAAAAAGCTGTAGAAGTTTCATAAGTGTGTGATGTTTAATTAAGGCTTTGCTATCATTAGATTTACCTTTCCATGTTGGTGTTTGTTTATAGATCACCAAGTAATGGGTGATGGAAAGTATTAACCGTTGAGGATATGATATGTCTGTAATTGGTTTCTTTATGTGTCTGAAGAACAGTACAGAAGGTGTCTTTGTAAAAGTTTCTAATAGTATCCTATCTTCTTTCAGCTTCTTGCAATTATAATGTGAATCTCTTCTCTGTTCATATTACTGTTTGAACCATGCTCAGATAAGGTGTGGTAGTATGCTCTCTCACAGACTTGCAGCTCGAGAGAATACTTTTGCTGGTTGTTTAAAGACCAAATATTTTATCAACCAAAGATCTTATTTCAGTTTACAAAATCTGAATTTGAATTACAAAACCAAGAGAGCAAAAAACTGACAAGTCACTTTCAATCCATAGCATAATAACTTATCATTATCACTCGCACACATACATATCTATGTCTGAACAGTAACAAAAACCCTTACACTTATTTAAACAAAAACAAATTCAAAAACATCATTTTCAAAGGCCAAACAACTTGTAGAACAACACCGGTTTGTACGAATAGAAAACTTGTCCAATCGCCAGCCCAAACAAGACTCCGGGGCCATATCCCATCGCCGCTGCTTTCCAGTTCAACACTTGTTCTTGTTTTGAAGGTTCTGGCCCTTGTGCCTCCGGTGTTGATGGTACCTTGTCGCTGAAGCAACTCTTCTCAAGAGGAAGACCACAAAGATTGAGATTCCCTTCAAAAGATGATTTAGGCTGTCCTCCCATCTGTGTGCCCCGTGGTATCTGTCCTGTGAGTTTGTTGTGTGACACGTTGATGTAAGACAAGAATGAGAGGCTTGCTAGCTCCTGCGGTATTTTTCCAGAAAGTTGGTTCCGAGATAGGTCTAGTGACTCGAGCCTTGTGAGATTAGCCCAAGATGATGGAATATGACCAGTGAAATCATTGTTGGATAGGTTGAGCACAATAAGAGACTTCAAAAGGCTTACAGATTCTGGAATCTGTCCTCCAAATTTGTTTTCAGAGAAATCAATGATTGTGTACGCCTCAAGGATCTTTTCCAGCTCCATGTTTATTCCTTTGTTTCTCAAAGACATGGAAGGCTGATACGAAGATGAGTAATCAACTCCCACGTACTCTAGCCGTCTTTCCTTTTGGGGAGCACTGATCAAGGGTGTACTCCAGTTGACAAAGTAATCATGTGGTAAGCTTCCGGTGAATTTGTTACGCGATATGTCAACTATCCGCAGTTGTGGAAGTGATAGAGGATGTGGTGGGGAATAGATAGGACCATGGAACATGTTTGATCGTAGTACCATGACTTTCAGGAACGGTAGATCCCTCAGCCAAAACGGAAAGGTGTCAGTGATTCCATTGCTCTCCACATTTAGATACTCTAGGTACGTGCAATTTGTAAGAGACCTTGGAAGCTTTCCAGTTATATGATTGTGGCTAACGTCAAGTGTTTCCAGTGAGCCACTTTTGTTGAATAAGTCCGGAAGTTTCCCAATGAGATTGTTGTGTCGGAGATCCAGATATTTTATTGATGAATTACTCAAGCATTGGGGAATTGAACCACTGAAATTGTTGTGTGCTAGATCAAGGATCTCCAGGTAGTGTTGGTTGCACAATGAAAGAGGTATGTCTCCTGTGAAACTATTATTTGATACAAGCAAGAAATTATGTGAGATAATAGAAAGAGATCCTCGAAAAGCGTTTGACCTCAGATCTAATACCGCAAACGACGAATTGGTAAGCATTGTTGGAGAGCCTTCAAAGCTATCGAGGGAGTTGTCAGACAAGATTAATGTTCTCAAAGAAGGCATACTCCATAACCATTTAGGCACTTGTCCTTTGAGTCTATTGTTGGCCATGTACAAAAATATCAGCTTATGTAGGTTTTTAATAAATGTGGGGAACTCGTTGATGTTGCACTTATTCAAGCCTAGCATGGTCAAATTTGAATAACCGGGGTTAAGCCTTGATATAGAATTTCCGGAAAGTTCCAATGTCAATAATGACTTGAATCCCAAGGAGGAGACGAAGTTGATTGGGTCCGTTGTGTTCTGAAAGGATAGGACTAGGTGATTGAGGTTGGTTAATGTTGAGAGAGGTTCTAGGATTCGACCACCGAGACGGTTATTTCTAAGGTATAAATATTCAAGATTAGATGGTGAAGAACAATCCATAGTTTCTAGAGAGTCAATGAGATGGTTTTGGCTCAAATCAAGATATGATAGGGAAGGCATGGTGAGTAGAGAACAAGGAAGGTACGCAGAAAAGAGATTATTGCTGAGATGTAAATAAGAGAGTCTTGATAGATTGAATAGAGGGGAAAAACTGCCAGTAAGCATGTTACCGGAAAGATACAAGTACCTTAGAAGGTTTAGGCTACTGAATGAGGATAGTATTTCACCGGGTAAGCCCATATCAGAAAGACCCAAGAACTCTAAGTTTGTGAGATTTCCAAGTTCCGGGAGGAATGAGAACGAGTCAAAGTAGTTTGAAGAGAGATCGAGGTACCTGAGGTGTGTTGAAGTAAACTTGAAGAAAGCTTGAGCGTGAAGTTATCCTAATCTTATTTAAATATGAGATAAGTATTGAGAAGATTTAGGAGTTATCTAAATCTTCTAGTTTCAATAGGATTAGGATGACTTAAGTTATATATATAGATATCATGAGTTGATATCATAACGTGTGATTTTGAGTTGTGAGAGTTTGAGGTTTTGANGTTTCAATAGGATTAGGATGACTTAAGTTATATATATAGATATCATGAGTTGATATCATAACGTGTGATTTTGAGTTGTGAGAGTTTGAGGTTTTGAGCTATTTTCCTCAGAGATTAATAAGAAGAGTTTTCTTGTTTGAGAGTTAACTTTGTGTTCAAGTTCTTTATTGTTAAGATTGTGAAACCGATTACTCAATAATTGGTATCAGAGCTTACGATGGGGGATCTTGTGGTGTCTACGGCAAAACTAAAGGAAGGTGGATCTTCTATCAAGTGTCCCATATTAAACTCAACTAATTACACTGTATGGGCCATGAGAATGAAGATTTTGCTAAAGGTACATGAAGTCTGGGAAACTATTGAAACAGAGGAAGCTGATGAGAAGAAAAACAATATGGCGATAGCTTTGTTGTTTCAAGGAATCCCAGAAGCACTTATACTACAAGTAGGAGAATTGAACACAGCGAAGAAGGTTTGGGAGGCGGTCAAGATGAGACACGTAGGAGCAGAACGTGTGAAGGAAGCTAGGTTACAAACCTTACTTTCTGATTTTGATCGACTCAGTATGAAGGAGACAGAGTCAATAGACGATTTTGCAGGGAGAATCTCGGAGATATCTTCCAAATCTGCAGCTTTGGGAGAAGAGATAAAGGAGCCGAAGCTTGTTAAGAAGTTTCTGAGTAGTCTTCCGAGAAAGAAATATATTCACATTGTGGCTGCACTTGAGCAAGTTTTGAATCTTAAAGATACGAGTTTTGAGGATATTGTTGGTCGTATGAAGGCATACGAGGAGCGAGTGTGTGATCAAGAAGAGTCACAGGAGGATCAGAGCAAACTAATGTATGCTAACAGTGAGTCACAATCAAACCGAAGCTACAACAACAATTACAATAGTAATTACCGAGGCAGAGGACGAGGAGGACGATTTCAGAACAGAGGAAGAGGCCGTGGAAGAAACAATGAGACTAGAGATGCTTCTCATGTAACATGTTTCCGCTGCGACAAGATAGGACACTTTGCTCAGAATTGTCCAGACAGACTACTTAAGCTACAAGAAGCTCAAGAAGATGATAACAAAAGTACGCAGGAAGCAGATGAGCTTATGATGCACGAGATAGGAGATTTTGTGGACATTTGTAAGAAAAATATGCAAGAAACAGGTGAGCTTATGATGCACGAGGTTGTACATCTAAACGAAGGAAAGGTTGTACCGAATGATTACCATGAGAGAGATGAAGACAACAGTGTTTGGTATCTGGACAACGGGGCAAGCAACCATATGAGCGGAGATAAGAGATATTTTTCACAGATTGATAGCTCAATTACAGGGAAAGTTCGTTTTGGTGATGACTCTCGAATTGACATCAAAGGAAAAGGAACAATTGAGTTCACAGATAGGAATGGAGAAGTAAGAAAGATGACAGAAGTATACTATATTCCGGATCTTAAGAGCAACATCATCAGCTTAGGACAAGCTACCGAAGCCGGATGTGATGTAAGACTGAAAGGAGACCATCTGATAATGCATGATCGAGATGGAAAGTTGATAGCAAAAGCAGTCAGATCAAGAAATAGACTCTACAAAGTGCGAATGGGACTGAAAGAGACTATGTGCTACCTATCTACTGAGCTCAGTGAATCAAGTCGTTGGCATGGGAGACTAGGCCATATAAACTACGAGACAATGAGGTCTATGATGTCACGAGAGCTAGTCATGGGAGTTCCACACATGGAGGTTGAGAAGAATATTTGTGGTTCCTGCTTACTTGGAAAACAAGCTAGACAGACGTTTCCTAAGGCAACAAATTATCGTGCAACTGAGATACTTGAACTCATACACGGTGATCTTTGTGGCCCTATAACACCAAAGACAAGTGCAGGAAACAGATACATCTTCGTATTGATAGATGACTTATCAAGATACATGTGGACTGTCCTGCTTAAGAATAAAGATGAAGCTTTTGGGAAATTTGTCAACTTCAAGCGACAAGTAGAGCAAGAGAAGAAGATGCGCATACAAACGTTTAGAACAGATAGAGGAGGAGAATTTGTGTCTCTTGAGTTCAGCAAATTCTGTGATGAGGAAGGTATAAGGCGAAATCTCACTGCTCCATATAGTCCTCAACAGAATGGCGTTGTAGAGAGACGGAATAGGACTTTGATGGAGATGACTAGGAGCATAATGAAGGCTATGTCAGTG